AGACTCCAAGTCAGAATTATTCTATACCGCTACAAAGATCAAAGAGAAACCATGTGGCAGGGAAGAATTTTTAAATACTTACAGCTTCCTCTCCCTGGACATGTATCTTGTCTGTTTGTGTCCTCACAGGCTCAGGAACCTTTAGTGCATTTTACTGTAAATTCAAAAAATAAATTTTAAACATGTTGCCTCTCAATTCTGTTAAAAACCCTGCATGCTCCCAGAGCTAATATTTCCCCAGTAGCCAGACTAGTGCTCTTGGGCAGTTGGGAATCAGCAGAGAATAGGAAAGCTCTGACCATATACTCTTTCCTCGGGCCACTTCTACACCTACAGCTGGGAAAACCTATACAGGCTATAAGAGAAAAAGCGTTAGCTTTATGCCACTGGAAGATCCCCCTCCATTAACATGACCCTTCCTATGGTTAGCTATGCCAGCTTTGGGGCTGTTTTGTGCTAGCAGTGTGATGTAAAGCAGCTGCACACCACAGCACAGGACCTGAGCCAATACCTCCTAATAATCTCTCCTAGCCGTCTGCTAGAGAAAAAGTTCACAGTTCTGTGTCTTGTGCATCAGATATGAGCAGCCTCCACTTGGATTTCAAAACAGCAGCAACATCTAATTGAAGACGAGAATCTCACCTTCTTTTCAAACTCATCCACCATGCCAGCATTAGCAACTGCAGTCTTGTAATAAACCCAATCAATAGGCGGGGGCTTTTCTGGCAAGGAGGTCAACCTGTACAGGTGGAGCAGAACAGCTGAGAGAACAACCCCCAGTAATTTCAGAGAGCTCCCAGGTCCAGTTGTCATGGGATAAGAGGGAAGGTCCTTTCATGGATTGAGAACTGGTTAAAAGACAGGGAACAAAGGGTAGGAATAAATGGTAAATTCTCAGAATGGAGAGGGGTAACTAGTGGTATTCCCAAAGGGTGAGTCCTAGGACCAATCCTATTCAACTTATTTATAAATGATCTGGACAAAGGGGTAAAAAGTGAGGTGGCAAAATTTGCAGATGATACTAAGGTAGTTAAGACCAAAGCAGACTGTGAAGAACTTCAAAAAGATCTCACAAAACTAAGTGATTGGGCAACAAAATAGCAAATGAAATTTAATGTGGATAAATGTAAAGT